CTCTCGTTGTTTTTAATATTTTTGTCTGCAAAACTATCGTCCAACTAATTTGTAAATAAATTTATTTAAGATTGCCATGGGCTACAATTATTTAGTCCTTTTTATCAAAGCTCCTAACCCTTTGGGAATTCTGCCCCTTCTGAGTGTAAATGGTGTGATATTAAAGTGTGTGCAATGTGTATAAAAGAGCTGTGATTCTGCAAAAACTAGATGTAAATATTTGCAAACGTTTGTTGCTTTTCTGTGTTGTTAAGGAACTGAGAAACATTTTAAGTGTCCAAAGAGCCTGCTGCCAGTTTGCATGCCAAATACTGTAACAGAGTTACTTCTGCATTGGAAAAAACAAAACAAGAAAACTGAACTATAGTGTAAGTTACTGTAAGACTATTAGCCTTAATGGTTTGTGACTTCCAGTCCAGCCTTTGTGTGGGCACTTGTAGCTCATAGTGGGTACGTGACTCTAGCTGCTTAATTTGCTTATCAGAGCTTTCAGCTATCACTGCTCTTTAAGTATTCTGCCATCTGTAATAAACATAGACCCATCCAGCTCATATCCTGTTTTGAACCTGTCAACATGGTACTTTAGCTCAAGTGTCTGAACTCCTGGGACAACTGTGTGACTCATTTCCATGTGTGTCATTTTTGATGTTGAGTCTTTAAGGAAACAGGGCCGAGCATCCAGCAGGAAGGGATTCCTTCAAGCTCAGACATCAACAACATCCCGAATATTAAAGCCATAGAGTAAAGTCAGAGGAATGGGAGCGAGGATGGAAATTATGCCAGACTTACCCTCTGCCAAGGTCAGTCACAAGCAGTCTTACCCAGAAATTTTGAGCGTAAACAGCACACATCAAGGCACGGGAAATGCTGTGTGTCAGAAATGACGTACTTCATCTCTGAATAAGCAGCGATACAGCGATGCTTGTTGTTCCTGTGTACAGGAACTTGCATCATTGATCAGCCACGCGAGACAAAGCTTTCCAGGCCTTGGGCGAAGGAGACTTTAAATATGATTCCAGAGATGTGGATTTGGCACATTTTGTGATTTCGATGATAGTAAAGAATATTATAGATGCAACTGACCAGTTTTGGGGGGGGGGGTTTGCTACTGAAAATTTTAATCCATTTAATCCAGAATCATCAAGTCCATAGGTTGTGCTGCAGGGTTGCAAACTATTTCTCTTGAATGCAAAATGTATGTGCTTGATAGAGCTTTAGACACATGAAATACACAAGTTTCTTGATTAATTTTAAAGAGTAAGAACACTTTTTTGTGGTAGTGCACTTGCAGTGATTTATACTGTTGAGTACTTATATCCTAATCCAGTGTGGGAATCTGGGAAGTCTGATGGCGATAGTGGAACTTCTTTATAGGATTATCCTGGTAGTTTTAAACATGGCTTTTATTTTTAATATTTTGTGGTGTCTTCCTTTTGTTGGAAAATAAGCCCAGACTTAACAGAATAATTACAAGACCCTCACCAGATACCATATTTTACTTCTTTTTTTTTTACTATATTTTCTTTTTTTGCACACATTCATCATTAAAACAGCGCAAAATGCCTTTAAATTTTTTGTTTGTTACATTGTAACCACTGCTATGATGTAACTGCATGCTTCTTATGAATGATAAGTGCTGAAACATCAAACCTTAATGGCTGTCCTCGTGTCTCACTAGCTGTCATCAGACAGCCTGCTGGTTTGCTTTGTCTAGCCTCTCCAGTAGCTGTTAAAAGGGGCTCTCTCACATTGCTGAACTTATAACATCACTCATCTAAATCATTACTGCGTCTGCTTTTCAGGATGCATGCTGAGTAAACTCTGTTAGCGCAAGAGAACACAACCAGAGCTACAAATGGAGTATGTGGGCCTCCTAAAATGGAAAAGATGGGGCATGATTTAAGCTCAAAGGCATGCTGCCCTTTCACTTAAAAAGAGCTATGTTCCTATGTTTGGACAGCCCTTTATATTATTGTATATATATATTTTTTTACACAACTGTGTATAAAGGGAAAACAGAACCATAAAAATATATGCAACCAATTTCTAGGGTTTCCAAATTAGAAATTAGCCATTTACCTGGATATCACGAGTATCAATTAAGAATAGCTGTCAAAAAATTAAGCATTGCAATCCATATTGTAACTAGCACAATGAAAACATGGATCAGCACAAGTAACGTCGCCCCGTTTATTCCCACACACGGTTTGAGTTCACACACACAACAGATAAGCATGTTCTATCTCTTAAATGGAACAACCACATTGCAATTAGGAAGCACAATAGGAACATCCTCCTCCACATTTAGGTGAAGAGTTATACCACCCCAGGGAAAATCTGCAGCAGTCAAAAACAAGCCAGATAGCGCTGCAGCATACGTGCTATAGACCAGTGCAAGCCATGCTAGTAGAGAGAGAGGCACCAATGCAGGCCAGGCTGCAAAAATAGGACACGCTCTGCATTTTTGCAAACCTCATGTTAGGAAAAAAAAAAATCCATCTGTAGTAGTATACATAAGTGTTCATACCTTTTTATTTCTCTGTGCTGTTTCTGCTTTGAGATATTAAATAAACATTTTGAAAGCGCTCATAAAAGTTTACTGAAATGCACAGAGGAGAAAAAAACGATTTTTCAGTCCCTTCTTTGTACATTCTGCAGTAGCGCGCAAGCTTTACCGCCTGTGCTGATTTGGTAATCAGGCCGTGCTTATGGGTAAATGGAAATCTAGCCTTCTCCTTCCCCGGGTTGGCAGCCATGTGCTGGCCTCCCTCTGTGCTTTTGCTGGTCGTCTGTATCTGCTTAGAACAGGTGCCGGATCCCGTTCAGCTGCAGCATTCACAGCACAGGTACGGGTGGGAGGCCCTTGGCTGCTCGTTCAGTCCCCCAAGTTTTCCAGGGGTCCCCATCTGTGTCCCCGCACATCCTCTGCCACATGGCACCTGTCCCTCGACGAGTCTGGTCCATTCTTCGTCCGGCGACGTACACGCCTGCCTGCCACCCCACACTCTGCCTGTTGTTGAGCCACAATGAGATGAAGAATAGCTGCACCCATAATCCCTTGCTGTGAGATGTGTGTGTGTGTGTGTGTGTGTGTTTGTTTGTGTGTGTGTGTGTTTTCCCTTCTTTTTCCTCCTTTGGCCAGATCCGGGGCCAAGTACAAATTGTAAACAGGTTATTATGCTGCTGTAACACACTCCAACTGGAAATGCACTCCAACAACATTTAGCGTTTGCTGATGTAAATGTGTCTTTATCCGTCACATAGAGTAGTTTAATTTGGTGGAAAGTTCAGTGCGTTTACCGCTGACGATGACGACAACGTTGTAATGGGTTTGCTGTTTTGTGTGCTCGCAAAGCTTTGCGGGAAAAATTCCATCAGAATTGCTCGGAACAATAAGTTTGCTCCATTGAGCAGCAAAAGAGAAATCTATTTTGAGGAGAGGTCACTTGTGATCACACAGCATTCAGCAGGAGCAGCTAGATCATTCAAATGCACTATATTTTTACACAGGACGTAGGTTTAAACAGCGTCTTAGTCTCCATGGTATGCCTTAGTCACGTAAAACAAATCAGCCACATCCTCTTGGCCTATAGTTAATGCTAACAACGTCATATAGCGCAAATGTTCATCATCCAAATATGACGATACTGGACGCTCCCTCTCTAGCTACACAATAGACTTTAGTCCAACCAGACAGACAGCCTCCTCAGTTCCTCCAGAGGACACAATATCCAAAGTGATCACTGATCACCTCGGTCCCAGCAGATGGATAATACTTTACACAGCTGCGAAAGCTCTGGGCTCCGTCCACCCACACCAAGCTTTTCTCTGTTACCTTGACAGTTAGTGTTGCATTGGACCAGTGAGTTGTTTGTTTGCCCAGGGAAGTGACATGACGGCAGAGGAGGAAATAGGAAACATAACAGACTACCTGACAGACTCATTCCATGGGCTTGACCTGAGACTGGAGCTGAGCCAGACAGCAATCAGAGAGAAATAACAAGAGGAGCCTTTTTTGTTTGTTCAGTCTATATCCTTAAAATCATTGAAATTGTAAATTTGTGATCCTGCACATGTGTCAAAAATAAAATTAACCAAATTAAAGGTATTATTAAACTCAGCTGGGGTGGAGAAATCAGCTGTAAGAGAAAAAACTTAACTGCGCATGTGTGCATTAAATCTAAAATTTACATGGTTCACCACCACGGGTTGACACGTCATTTTGTCTTTCCGTTCTTGATGATTTATTGCAGTTGGAAAATAGCAATGGCCGTCTTTGGATTTCAGCAGATGGCTCTGACTAAAGGTTTAGAGTGCTGATGAGTCAACTTCGAGCAAGGACAAAAATTGAAGATGACAAACTGAGTGTTTCCCGTAACTTCCCAGAGCCTTAAAATCGCAGAATCCACAAATCTCAGCAAACAATCCAAATTATGTAGCTCCTGTGGGCATTTCACAGGAGTGACGCTGGCATGCTAATCACTTCATTATCAATGCAAAATTCAAACCAATTGGTGTGCAATAGTTTGGCAGTGGAGATGAGTTTGAGATTAAAAAAAATTGCTATTTATTACCTGGCTGCATGCGTTAGTCAAAAACAGCATGGCTTGGAATGTAATTTTAGCACGGTTATTTGCATATGTGTGGAGTTTGAACTTGCTGGTTTAAACCACTTTCATAAATGGAAGCTATGTATCTCTCAATTTATGAAAATTCAAATAAGCTGAACCTATAAATTAGGGGTGTCAAACATAAGGCCTGGGGCCCAGAATTGGCCCACCGAAGACACCAAACTAGTCCACTGGACAGTTTTGGAAATTTTGAAGGAGGGAATATATTTTAGACTTTATCTGTGTCTGCTTTGATACCTCTTTTATTTCCACTCGTCCTACTCCAAAGTGAAAGTAACAGATAATCAATTAAGTGATGAGGAGTTCATGTTTTTTTCACCATTTACTATAGAAATGTTTTATTTATGCAGTGGGTTCACAAGAAAAAAAAACCCAAAAAGGGCACATTCTGTCAAATAAAAAACAGTTTTTGTTTTATAACTGCTGGAGAGTAATTTTACACATGTATTTCTTACAAGTTAAGCCCAAAGCAGCACTTCTTTATCATGTGGAAAAAGACAGATGTTTTTCTTGAAATTGTTGTTCTTTTCTTTTTCAATGATTAAACGTTTAGTTAAACTTCTCTGCACTGACAGAAACAGGAGTTTTACTGCTCTGGCTCACTTAAGATCAAAGTTGGCTGTACATGACCTACAATGTAAAATGAGTTTGACATTCCTGTTTTAAATGATAACAGCTAAATAAAGCATTGAAAAAAAATATTAATTAGAAAAAGGTATTGTATAATAATAAAAAGCCAGGACTGTGTCTGTAATTTAGGAAAACTACTTCATGTATATTTATGTGTGTATATTATTAGGCCCTTTAGCTGTTGCTGAAATCTACTACCACTGAAAAAAACAGCCTCCTTCATTCTGAACAAACTTCTGCTTTGTTCTGTAATTTATGTCAGATGATACTCAGTTGATGCTTGCGTTTTTGTCCTTGTCACGGCGTCCTACCCTGAGGTGGTGGATTTGATTGTTGAGACATTGCTGGTCATCTTTACCAAGGGAGTCTGCACTAGCACCCCGAGCTGACCTTGACACTTGTGAGGCTGATGCCCCATCAGCGATTCCCTTCTCACCTTAAATGCCTGGGGCACCACCCGTCCGACAATCAGAATATGGTTGCGTGCATATTGACCCTCCACAGAGTTTTAAACCCTGCAGCTACAGAGGGTAATGATGTAACCTCAGAGAAATGAACACCAATACCAGCCGGCTGCAAAGACGAGTATATGATGAATGTTGTCATTCTGGCGCGTTTTATCACATCTGCCATGAGCTGTGTCAGAAAATACACAATTGTGGTTGACTGTGGGTAACTATAGGGGTCAGAGTTAGTGTGTGTGCTCACTACAACTGTTGTTTTCAGGATAACAAACCTGCTTTAAGCTCATTATTGTGTATGTTTGTGTGATGTGTCTTTATGTTTGTGGTCAAGGTACAATAGGCCAGGTTGACAGAGACTTTCCCCGAAAAATAGTGGATAAGTAAGATGCTAATCAACACGGCACCGTTTCCTCCTGCTGCTGAACAGCGGGTTCCCTTCCCTCACTCTGACTCTTTAATGCAGGGCCCAGCCAGGCCCAAACATCCTGACGGAGAGAGGCTTTTCCCTTATCAGTCAGGAAACACCGCTCCTCCGCCACATCCTCTTTACAAGAAGCACGACTCAACCATTCCCAAAAAATGCAGGAAGACCAGCCAGACTCCAGGATTTGTCAAAAGCCCCCTGAATTCCTTTTATCGAAAAAAGAAAAATTCAAGAGAACAGAGAGGTTGAGAAGGGGAGGAGTGGAGAGTTTGGAGGTGGGGGGGAAGGTAAAACAGTAATTTTTTTTACTTATTTTTTCCACAGATTACGAAAGGTCTGCATCAGCAAGATATAACGTGGGGTGAGGGGGTGGGTGTAGAAGGAGGGGGTCCAGCGTGCCGAAGAATGGCACCCAGAATAAGACTATAGGAAAACAAAGGATGGTTGAGATGGAGGCGGGCGCCGACGAATGTGCCTGTTTTACACTAATCCTCTGAACCGGGATGAAATGAAAGCGAGAGGAGACGGATGGAGAAAGATGATGTAGGGTGGAAAAAGCCAGCAGGGGAGTGGGTGTGTAGAATGGGCCTCTCACAGCTAGACAGAGCCTGAAATAGAAGAATACACGGTGTGACACTCAATTCAAAGATGGATGTGATCTTTCTCCCCCCGCCTCCCCGATTTGTTCATGGAGACTAGCAGGACTCCTGCTATCCTCAGTTTTTTTTTTATTTAGAAATCTAAATGTATTTATTAGGACTTAACTAGCACTGCCTGAACTTACCTTCCCCAGGTCAGATATGAATCTCCTGTTTATAAGAGATGCTCAAAATTGTGCCTTTTAAAAATCTGCAGGCTCATTATCCAAGCAGCCTTAATATAAAAATTGACCTTTATTTTTAAATTATTGTCTTTCACAAACCTAAATCAGCATACAGTTACAGTTAGCATTATTATTTTTCATTGTAGAGGTCGATTATATATTATTAAGTACTTGAGAAGAAGTATAAACGCCTTTCTGTCATCATCATATACATCACTTTGTTAAATTGCATAAGAAATGTCCAAACTAAAACCTCATTCAATTACAACTACTGAGGTAAGACTCCCAAACTAATGAGAGCAGGAACATGATACAAACATTCGAATGGAAAGCGCTGATAAGAGCATTACAGTTAGCATTTATGCAAAACATCAAAGGACTTAAATTAGCTTCTAAATAGCATCTGTACATGACTCGCTGGCAACAGTAACTGGTGACATTTACAAGTGGACAAACAAGTCTTTTGTCTTTCTTTTTTTTCCGACTGTTTTACTGGTTTAGAGATTTCATGACAACTGGAGGTGGCATACTGTAAGTGTTTTGTGTCTGCATCCCTGAGGTGTCCATCTCCTTCTCTTCACAGTCCTCCAATTGCTCTTTGTTCTTTCCCTGGCTCCAGACAATCATATTGCTCTGTAATCAGTTCAGTTTTTAATCATGGTTGGATTCATTTGCCCTTAGATGCTAAGGGTTTCCCTTTTATCAGCACCCAAGTGCAACATCGTCCTAAATTTCTTCAACCTTTGTAGTGTCTTTGATCAGTCACGCATTCAATAGGAGTTGTGACCACGCTTATGAGATGCCATAGTTGTTGTAGTAGGCCGCCGTCGCGTCTGCTAGCACGGAAATGAGGCTGGTTTCTGTGGAGCTGCTGGGACACGTAGTGGCAGAAGTGGTGGCGGCAGATGCCACCTGGATGTGTCCTGTAACGGTCATGCCGCTGCCCTGCTCCGGGTGGAAGCCGCTCGCGGTAGAGTTCAGGTACTGGTCAAACTCATTGCGGTCCACTTCACCGAGAAGCTCAGCTTGGCTCAGCTGGTCTAGAGTCTCCAGGTGACCTTGTGTCTCTGGTGGGGGGGACAGCTGACCCAGGTGGCCCTGGTGGACCCCGTGGTGAATCTGGGGGAAAGGTGGGGAGCTGTAAAAAGACAGGGGTGGGCCAGGGATCAGTCCACTGCCGCCTCCAGTTTGGGACATGTGAGAGATGTGACCTAAGTGTGAGCCCCCACAGTGAATCTGGGCGTGAGTGTAATCAGAGTGGTAAGGGGGCGGGCTGCCCATGTGTGTCTGATTCTGGTGGTGCTCGTCTGGACAGGAGACTGAGGAAGAACAGGAAACAGAGGAGCTACTAGATGTTGAGTAATAAGAGGGGGGTATTTGCTCGTGGTCCACCGCATCTAACGGGGACATCTCAGGAGGGGTGGGCAGGCCGTAAGGGTAGGTGTCGAAGCTGCTGTTGGAGCCAGCCGGGTCTCTGAAGCTTCTGACGCTGGGGAGAGCAGGGCTGGAGCTGGAAAAGCTGGTGACGGCTCCATTAGGGCTGCCCTCGTCTTTGTCGAGGGGGTGGCAGAGGGCTCGTTGATCTGGCAGAGTGCTGTGGTCAGGAGCCAGCCCGCTCAGGAGGAACCCAGGGTCGACTCGCTTGCAGATGCGTTTCAGCTGTTTCTTCCGGCGAGGCCGGTACTTGTAGTTGGGGTAGTCCTGCATGTGCTGCACCCGAAGCCTCTCTGCTTCCTCAACATAGGGCCTCTTCTGAGGGGGAGTGAGGGCCTTCCATGACTTGCCTGAATGCAGAGGAAGAAGAAAAAAAATCTCAATCTGAATATGGTTCAACAAGTTCTAAAATGCAATATATATGCACTAGTTTAGCAGTCTTTATTATTATAAAATAAATCAGCATCTTTTAACTTACAAACAATTTATAAATAACTGCAAAAATTATTTTTTTTAAAGTTACAGAATCACATTTCTTTTAATTCACAAGTAAAATAGCCAGTTCTGAAAATAAGGCAATTAGAAACGTTGGCAGGCTACGGAAAAATTAAACCCCATTGTTTAGAAATCGCAGTCTAAATTAACGTCTCGGGTTTGTGATCATAAACAAGAAAGAAAATCAGTGTTTAATTTCACCGCAACTTTCTGGGTCTTTTGTAGCTCTGAATTACATTTAAGAGACTTACCAACACGCATTAAATGTCCGCTTTCAAGCCGAACGTCAGTTTTTAAAGATAAATACAAAAATAGACACATGTGGGCCTCACAGATTATTTCCGATTTCCGCAAGTGCCAGATTTAAAGCTTAACCTTTACCAATAATCTAAGAAGCAGCATTAAACGCTAATTTTTCTCCGCTTCTGTCTTCTGCCTCTTAACGAATTTACTGCAAACTAAACTAAACTAAACTAAATACACGCGGATTCTGGCGATGCGCTTTTGAAGGCAACTCTAACTGCGGCGCAGTTTCATTTACTTTAAGAAAGACAATGGGCAATTTATTCCAATTAAATTTTAAAAAAGTTTTAACACATTTTTTTTTATGTCATTTTAAATAAAGCAGCTCATTTGGCACTGCTGGATACGTGTATTAAAACGTGTTTTACTACAACCGAGGCCTAAGAGAGGAAAAGTAAGTAGAAGTGAAGTGTGCAATAAGTAGCTTAAAAATAATAATTATAATGATGATGATGATGACAATAATAATAATAACAATAATAATAATAACAAAACTCGTAACTTTAAATAACTTTTTTCCTCACCCAACATTTTGCTGAGCTCGGCATTGTGCAGGTCAGGATTTTGAATCGCCAGCCGTTTGCGCTCATCTTTGGCCCAAACCATGAACGCGTTCATGGGTCGTCTGATCCGCGGCTCCGGCGCCTTTTCCCCGGCATTCCTGTGAGGACCATGCCCGTCGGCTCCGTCTCCGTCTCCCGGAGGACACTCGAAGGACTCCGGCCACGACGAGTACGCGCTGATGAGAGCAGCCATCTGCGCGCTCTCCTCTGCAAACTTACAATGCGCGTCTCTCAGAGAAGTTGTGTTCTCACTGTCGGCTAATTAAGCGACCGAGAAACTACACAGACATGCTTAAGTGATAATAATAATGAGAATAATAGTACAATTAAAACTCCACGGCTGCTTGACTCACTCACTGGATCGCTACGGATTTGGGAGAAAGCACAGATGTGCTCAGGCAGCGGCTCCTCTTCTGAGTTATGGTTCAGTCTTTCCTGGTGGATGGGAGGAAGCGCTTTATATTTGACTAGCAGGTTCCAGGAGAAAACCCCGCAGGACTCTCGGCTCCTCCTTGATTGTAAGTTGCGCCCCGTGGAAGGGAAGAGAGAGAGAGCGCGCAACATTTCAACACTACCAACTCTTTAAACTCGCCTCTCTACAAAACAGCACTTTCTTCCTCTGACAGATATCCCATTTAAGAGATAGGTCAACTCATAAAAGTAATTCATGATTCTTTCGAGCTACTGATCACCGTTTGATCATCATCAGCTGGATTTTCACACAGGAAAATAAATCCTTTGCAAACCTCGTTGTTGTTTCCTTGTTACAGGTGCATTAATGCTCACGTGTAATGATGAAAAAGAGGGTTTTGCAATTTTAGAGTTTTTAGGAGTTGACAAAGAAACCTTCGTAGAAAACACACCTAACCTGCTTTTGCAGTCTACGCAAGGCTTTACTCACCAGACTAAACTGGTTAACTGGCGTTTCCAGATTTCCACTGAACTCCAAGAGCAAGCAGCGTGACAAGTAAAGCGAACACATACCTTTTAAAACTGAGGGAGGACGAAAACAAAACAATTTTTATTTAAATTACTGTACCTTGAAAAATACTTTGGTCATGTTTTTGTAGTCCTTGAGTGAACTATGTTTTCACAATTAATCTTCTCATGCTCCCACAAAGAATCGTGATGAGTCTTTTTCTGAAGTTGGGGATGTAGATTAATTTCTGGAACCTGTAAAGAGACCACATCACACTAACACACACACACACACTACAAACAAATCAGTTTCCTCCTGTGGCAAGAAGCGGCTGCATATCAAATCCTGGAGTTCCTGTTGACAGGATACTCTTGGGCTGCAGCCATGGAGCAGCTCCCACTCTCTCACAAACACACTTGTCAAGCCCGGACGCTGATCACAGGTCAGATAGCGTCTTGATCTATATCACGCATGCAGACTACACACTGCAGGAACACTTCTTTTTTCCTTGCAGGTTGAGTTCACAGGCATCAATGTTAAGTTGCAATATGCATCTTTCGGTTGGGTGGCTGTGCCTGCTCCTTACACATCAAACTGAAGTGTCAGCTTTGTGTGAAACTTGCAGTGCACAGGAACAGGATACGGCACCTGAAGCCACAGATTGTGCGTGGAGCAGGCACATCGGTGATATATAGCGCCACACTTCCTCTTGCCTGTCTGACAGGGGTCACACATTGATGTGTAGTCAAAGTGCCAGTGAAAGTCAGCATGGAAGGAAAGTGAACGTGCGAGATCAAGAGCTAAACATCACATTTGCAATTTGGAATTAAAACACATGAGCGCTCAAAGTTGAGGGATACTGAAATGACTAATAGCTCCTGGTATTAACCGCTGTGTGGGTGAGAGCTGTATCAGCCTGCTGTTCACCCTCTAGAAGACATGTGGCTACTGAAGACCTGGCGGGGTCTGCCTCCATACCAGACGACTGCATGTTTTTAAATCGAGCCTATATCCAAACCTATTTATTAATAGACTATTGTGTTATTATAAAAGTAAAAGCTTTGTCACCTGTCATGCATGGCCTACTGGTACACTTCCCAAGATCATCCTTTTACTTTCAAAATAAGTGAGGAAACAGAGGTAAGTGGACAATTGCATGGCATATTCTGTTAATGTTAAATAGTTTGTTTTTAATGAACACCCCCGTGCCCTTGCTGAAATTTAGGAGGAATAAAAATCTACATTTCTAAAACCATTTACTCTTTGATAGTTTTATTTTGTATCTATCCACAAACTCATTGTGGTTTCTGTGTGTGGTAACTAACTGAATTGCATAATCCACAGCTATTGATTGCAGAGGAAAAGATACCCGAGACGTCTTTTCGTCACAGGATGACCAATCACCATCTTCACTTTCAGAAGTTTCCGTAAAACCTAAAATAGAGACGAGGAATACTACAGTGTTTTCATGTGCAAGACTGGACGTCTTAGTTTCCCTTTTCCTCCTTTGACTCATACCAGACGACTGCTGAACAAGACAGACTAGTTGTTAAGCTGTCATATTTGGAAGATTTCATAACATTGTGCGTCACATTTGAAGTGGAAAAGGTGAATCTTCCAGAAACCACCTGTGTTTGAATATACGTGTGTGAATTTCTTTTTACTTTTTGAAATCTCTACAACCAAGCAGATTTTTTACCTCATCTCTTTCTTAATGTTTTTTTTTTTAAGTGCTCTTACAGTGCGCCGTGCAAAAATCTTGACCCATCTGGCATTTTAATCCCACATTGCTTCAATAATGTTGAGCCCTGGGGAGGCCAATCCATGAATGATAGGGTTCCACTGTGTGTTTTCTATCCAGTTATGCTTTTATTGCATTGGCAGTGGGTTTGCGATCATTGTCGTGCTGAAAAAATGAAGCTGTTGCCTCTAATACAGTGGTGTCCAAACCCAGGCCTCAAGGGCCAGTGTCCTACAGGTTTTAGACGTGTCCTTGGTCCATTACAGCTGATTTAAATGGCTAAATTACCTCCTCAAGATTTCTTGAAGTTCTCCAGAAGCCTGGTAATTAACTAATCATTTGATTCAGGTGTGCAGACCTAGGGTGAGCTCCAAAACCTGCAGGACACCAGCCCTCGAAGCCTGGAGCTGGCCAAGCCTGCTCTAATAGGTTTTACACTCACTCTCTCCTGACCTCCTCCATAGATTAGTTGATTTTGATGACCAAAATTTTCTAATTTGGATTCATCACTCCCTAAGTTGCAGTTGATCTTCAGTCCAGTTCTTGGGTTTACTTCAGCCGCTTCCAGTAAAACCATTTCAACTTCAGTGTGGATCAAACGAAAGGCCAGACGCATCTTTCAGGTCTTTACTGTTTATCTTTTTTTTTTTAAAGACTTCTTGTCCAGTTTTCTCACATGTTGAAGGACAGACTGCACACCATGCTCAGATACGTCAGGTTTTCAGGGAATCACCTTGTTGGTACAAAACTATTACTTTTTGCTTGTCAAACAATGTCATCTTTGTCATTTTTCATTAGATTCCACTAAAGAAATGGGAACAAAGTATGTTCTTACTGCAAGCTGTCGGTAATAATCAAATTCAAAATTGGTTCTTTATCAAGTTATATCTAATGTGTAGAAGCTCTGGTTCATCATGCAAGTTTTTTTTATGGCTGAGTGATTCATAGGTCAGTAATAGGTGGTTAATAAATGGCCAGGGGAGGGGGTGGATTTACGTACACATTATACATACACTAACAAATACAATCCTCTGAAAATGGTCAGGTACAAGTATTGGACTGAAACAAAGTGGAAGAGCAGCCAAAGAAAAGCTTTGCCTGGAGGACTATTGCTCAAGAGCACTTAAAAAAGTAAGAAAAGAGTTTAACTCATTGGAAGCAAAACAAAGAAATCAGAGGTGTCTCAATACTTTTGCACAACATTTCTCTTGACCTATGGAGGAAAAAAAAAAAGGGACACATTCAAAGGGTGATGGACATTTGGATTTATTTAAAAAAAAAAAAAACTTCTGTAGAACTCAAAATAGTCAAGAATTCTTTCATATATCTGCCAAAGCATTATCAAAGTACATCAGTCATGTGACATCAAAGAGAAAACATGTTTCCGTTTCATTTTGTAGAGCTGACAGAAGCTGTCTGAGTCACTTTAATAAAATAAAGGGGCATCAAAAGTGGTGGGAAAAAAATAAACCACTGTGAAAATGGGCAAATAGTAATGCATTTACATATAAGATGGTAATATACAAAATTATATTTTCCAAAAAATGCATTTTAAGATCGGCCACGTTTCCTATGATACTCATCTTAATTCATTGGGCAGGAGAATTCATAGAATGAAGCACATGTATCATCTAAATATTATTTTTATTTTAAAAAGGGATTAGACGACAGCCATGTCAACTTCTCTCTATATTAAATACATTTTTAAACATAGCTGTATGTCTATCCCACTTTAATATCTGAGCAGTAAATATGAGGCTAACTTTGCTAAAGATTGGAAACAGGAAAATGGCTAGTCCAGGTGTACCCTTCTGACTTGAACACTGGTGGTAAAACATGTTGGGGGTTTTATGGGAAGCTCCAGACCTTTTTCCTAGTTTGTATTTCCTGTTGAGCCATGATAGTGGTGTTTTTATTCTCATCTCACTGTCAGCAAGATGTCCATACTATCTCCTCCTACAGCGGTGTGTTCCAGAGGCCACCAGTGCAAGGTTGAGGCTTTTTATAGGCTGCTTCAAGGTTTTTTCCAGTGACAAACACTCCCTATCAGTTTTTTCTACAGTCACTATCTAAAGAATAATAATAATAAGAAGAAAAAAACAGCATCAATGGATGCTTTAACAGATTATTATGGTGTGTATATACAAGGCATTTAATTTCATAATACAAGTACCCCCTTAGGAGTCAGGAGAATAGTGCAGTACTGAGTCACCCTGCCCTAATGTAAACCCTGCTCTTGATGCTTCCTTTTCTTTTTCTTTTTGGATTTCTTTTCCACCAGCTCTTCCTTCCTGTCTTCTGTTGCCACACTGTCCACCTCATCTCTGTTCTTCTTCTTCTTTTTCTGCACTGTATTTAAATCTAGCGTTTCATCCTCTGCGGGCTCGTGTCCATTTAGTAGCTCACTTTGCTCACTGTGTTTTTTAAGCTTTTTCTTCTTGGTTTGTAATTCTTCACACTCAGTGCTACAGGTGGAGCTACAGTTTTCATTTACTGCTTCTTCACTTTCTGCCATTTTTCTCTTTTTCTTTTTTTTCTTTGAACGTTCTTTCTCTTGATCCTCTTTGTCCTCTACTGCAGCGGGTGTGCTACACTGCTCTTCTGCAGCCTTTTTCTTCTTCTTCTTTTTCTTCTTTTTGGGCTCTTCTGTATCATCATTGCTGTTGTGGTTGAGACCGACTTCCTCAGATGCATTTGATGTCTCAGGAGTATCTGCATTCTGGGCCCCACGAGCCTTTTTCAGCTGAGCCATACGCTGTGCAAAGTACTCCTGCATAGTGAGAGTACTCGTGACAGTCTTAGTGATGGCTTCTGGGTCCTGGTCAGAAGGATCAGGATTCACGCCGTCCTCCGCCTCACCCTGCGAGTCACTGCTGTTGCTCTCCTAAACCACAAAGACACGAGTAAGAAGGCAGAGTCAGGCTTTGATGCATCACTTTGAGAATCTACACAGATAAAGACAACAACCAATGGTAGAGCAAGGGGGGGGCTTAAGTGGTCGTCAATCAACATGTAAAAATTACCACGGCAGACTTCAGTGAGTGAAAATAAAGAGCACACAACAGGATGCTAATTTAACAATAGGTGTTAAAGCCTTAAAATAAGCACTGAACCACATTTATCACCCAGTCATTAATAATCTTCATAAATCCATCAATCCAGCTGTGGGTGTTTGTCACAGTTAGCTTCTTAAACAGTCACCCATCAGTGATGGCTCACAATAAAGAATTTCAGGTACTTCCATTATTTTCTAGTATGTTTCTAAATTCAACAGTCCAAAAATCATCTTCTATTTTGTAATTGTTGCATAATTTCACTCCTAACATTGATGCTTTGCTCATACCGAGGCTGCGAGCTCGTGGCTGGCTCTGCGGAGCTTTAGCCACTTTCTCTTTGTTCGTTTCTTTAAAATGTCACTGATCAGCTAGCTGAGGGTGATTTAAGTGTCTGTTTAGGTTTATTGTTACAAATGTTTTCCTGGTGGTCTCCAGTGGTTTACTTTGACAAACTTTGTCTTTTCACTCACAATGTAATACTTCCACGCTAACAAAATGTTTGTGTGTTGCACAACTGTGTACAAAGCTCTTTGTCAGCATCATGCGTGTTGCACACTTATTAATGCACAGAATCATGCTTTGCGTTATTATTATTAACCTTTGTTTTACAAGTAAAGACTTTAAAAATTCTAGACCTTATACCCAATTAGGCCAACAATGCCAGCATATGATAAATATTTTTTTAAATCGCTGTATTGTGGTGTTGGAAAAACTGTCGAGAAGAAGACTAAGTGAATGTAGATTTTTGCGTTTACTAAATGTCACAGTGGTATTTCAAAAAGATTCAAACAACTTCAGCTGACTCATTGGCGATGTAGTGCACCTGTATGTGCCTGCCACTAAGATGCATCATTAGTTTAATTCTGAAATTAAGTGAGAGGTGCTCGCATCAGTCATCGTCCCCACGTTGATCGTAAAGGTTAAAAAGTAGGACAGTTAAGACTCATTCTGCCGACCTTTAGGCTCCACATTAAAAGGGGACAACTTTACAACTGTGAGGAACAACTACACTCCAGATTTTAACTCCACAGCATGAACAATTTGTCACCTCACCCCTGTGAGCCATTTGTCTTCATTTTCCTAATGGCCTACTCAATGCATAATGATTTGTTCAGAAGAATACAGAAGCTCCTCTTGAGGATCACACCAAACAATATAGCCTTTCCATATTACCTCGGAGATGGTGAATTATTAGATGGCATTTTTCAAACCCTACAGATTAGAGATAAATTGAAAACACTGTTGTGTCGAGTCACCTCGTGGTTTTGGCCTTTAAGCTTTTACATTATGATTACACTACTCTGACCCTCGGCAGTGATTCAGGCAGATATGCTAACTAATGTTCGGGTAAAACAATGCATGTATGTTCTGGGACTTAAAAAGGCCTTTAATGTAGAGTGAAGTTACTAGATGTGGCTTTGGTCTTGTGTAGGGATGATGCGCTGTATGTTACTGCATGTAAAAGTGTTTTTTTTCCTTTCTTTAAACCAGTCACCAAGGACTTCACCAGGGACTTCAGTGAGCCCCTAAAAGCAATTAGTCTTAGCCAACTAAAAGGCTTTTCATAGTCAATATAGTTTCATCAAGGGAAACGCTATTGTCTTTGTGGTCTGATACACCGATTCATGTGGTAAAAAATGTCTGAAGAGCAAGAAAGGCTGCAACTTATGAACAAGATTTTAATCTGAACGATCAGAACGGGAATGTTTTGCTGTGAGGATATCAGAGTGTTACATAACACAATCGCATCTACAAAACAACGAAATCAGATGATATGAAAAAACGTGACTGAGGCTAAATGACAACGCAGGTGTTCAAATGGACAAAGTTTTCCACCCTGACTACAAAGAACTTCTAACAAGGGGAATGAGGCCCTTCAGGTGAGGTGCCATTATACAAAACTTTTCAACTTCCCTGAGAAAATCTATACTCCCCGTTACTGCACAATGGCATCCTCTCTGCTTGGGAGAGTGGAGATGGAGCTTTGAGCTGACATCGCCAAACAACATGTAACTGGGATTTGGGAAGATGGCTGGGGGCCACTTTAGAACTGCCTGTGAAATTACTCTCAGGAGGGAGAGGGAGGGTGAAAGAGCTGGGAAGAATGAGGGGAGAGTGACTGAGCGAAGAACATCTTCATCATCAGGGAAAGGTGGCTTGAGCTTGGTATGTGGTTCATCCTCACTGCCTGGGGATCTCCATTAGACGCTCATCTGACAGGAGCAGAAGTGCTGTGCTGAGCACAGGCTGGACACACATACAGTATGGGGATAAACCTACAGCTCCAGTCAGCATTACTAGCAGCCCTGGAGATTTTTCTTGGCGTGGAGTGTTGAGGGCAACATGTTACTAAGAAACTACTCTGCAGTAATGTTTGGGATCTTGTTTCCCCATATCCAGGTGTGTCTTCTATTCGTTAGTAATTTCTTCTGCTTTACAGCATATGGTACAGACCCAAAACTACCAAAAAAGCTGCTTCTTCTTTTTTTTTAAAAAAAAAAAAAAGAAAATTAGGATTTCACAGTACACTGTAAACCTTGTTGTTGCAATAAGATTAATGGTATACTAGCAGCAAGAATGGTGGCTGCTTCGTGACTTATTATGGTAAAGCTTCCCATATTTAGTGGCAGAAGTTGACAAAATTCCAGCGACGATGACGGAACTTGAAAGGAAATCCTTGCGAAAAAGAACATAAAAAAAGCACAATATAGACAATTTTTAAAAAAACAAAAACTTAATCTTTTAAAGGCATCTTTTCCTTCATTTACACTGATATAAAAGCTGTATTATAAGGTACCAAGTATCACATAATCACTGTATTGTGGGAGTTTTTGTCACATGAAATGTATTGTCATAGCATTGTGAGCTACTCCATGATTCTCCTTTTTATATCATTTTATCTGTCTCTACATTTTAAAATACTGTCATTAAAAAAAAAACAAAAACCCTAAAATGTTTATTTTTAAATTAGAATACACTGAATACTTACGGCCAATTATTCCACTGGTATAGAAGGGAGGAAAATAGGACGCATCATGTAACTTAACAATTTGATTTAATTTTACTGGCCACAACACTTGCAATAGTGAAAATTGAGAGCATATAACTTTTTCACTAAGGCTACAAGTTATAAATGTGTATGCATAAAATGATTTATTAAAATCATCCAAAAGAGAATGTCATTTCTTTTTGATATTTTTCCTTTTGACAGTGGTTAGTTTAGATTCACCAATAAACACGAAATAATGTTTTTTACTTAGCATATACATACTAAGCTATCCTTTGCATAAGGATTACCAAATGTACAAATTTATAATTGCTGGGACTAGAAGAATGACTTAAATAAATAAACAAATAAATAAGCCTGTGCTGTAGAACACACCTATATCAAGCCATGTCTACTCCTTCTCCTCCTCTTCTCCCAGATGCAGAACCCCAGGAAAAGGATGCACTCAATGCACTGTGTGCAGTTCTGAGATAAGGCTCCTTCAGCAGAGGAGCGGCCTGGCTGGCTATCGGGCCCTTCCTGCTCCGCTCTCTCCTCTGGCGGGGGCTGGGCAGGGAACACAGGGAGGGTCCACAGAGGGTCCCAGAGAAAAGGAGAGGGTGGGAAGACATTCAACAGGCCGTCTCCTTCAAGACACTCCAGTTCTATCTCTTCTTGGTAATGTAGTCACTGGAAAGCCGATGGTAAGACATGTGGCAGAGGTGCCAGGATACCGAGGCCAACACATTCAGTGGGAGAGTCAATCAAGCCAGCAGAGAGATGATGGAAAGGGTTCACCAGAGTGCATGCAAAACTTTTCTCCCCAGCAAAATGTAGCAAAAAGAAACCGAACGATGTTCAGTTCATTTATTACTAATTTGCTCTAACGGCTTTGCAGAGCAAGCTGGGTTACTTTATGTCTGCCTACTTCTAAAGAGAAACCAAAAGTTCCAGGACAACAGCTCAAGTAACATCTTAAATTAAGGATTTTTGCCAAGTGCAAGATATGTTAGGTAGTAAGTGATCGATTGGTTGTAATAGTTACCTTGTTGGATGTAGGGAAAATGTTCAGGTGTAAAAATCTGATCAAACTTTAAAATGAGCCAGATTTTAAAGGCAGTCAACCAGATCAAAGGATCTCAGTAACTATAGGACTTGAGGGTGCTAGCAGTCAGGAGTAGAGTAAAGGTCATTACACAGAGAGTGTGTTGCAAAAAAAAAAAAATCAACATGAAATTCAGAATTTTCTGGATCTAAACTTGCCATGTAATGTGTACACACGAACGCGGTGCATTTTTGTGGAAAAAAGAGAAATACTGCAAATCCATCTACTCAAATTCAAACACAGATCTAGTAAATATATGTAATAACAGAACCACAGTTTCTTTAAAAAAAAAAAAAAAAGTTTAGAAAATGCATATACAAACATGCACGTTAAACCTGGGGGAAGTTACAAAGTTTACCTGTATTTGATTTCTAAAAGTCATTAAAAACCAGGTGAATGTGAATAGTTTTGCAGACACAACACACCTTCCAACTCATGTTAATTAGGATTTGACAATGCTCCAGTTGCTCATTTATTTTCCTAAAAAATAAATAAATAATAAAAAAAAACCTGCCTGTTTGCATTACTTGCTTTTTTTTTCTTCAATAAATTTCTAGCCAATATTGGTCGGGTCTGTAATTGCACGAGTGTGCCCTCATTGTTCTGCCACAATAATAAATTTGGTGATACTCAAGGTCTATGGATCAGGCCCTGATTAGCCAGCTGTCTCTCCCTGATGAACACGCAAGTCCAGCAGCCCCATCCTTCATGAGCCTGATGTGGGCGGACACGGGAAA